TATAATTTTAACAGTAATGGTTGTATTCTTTCTGAGAAGATTCTTCTATTAACCTGAAAAATGGATTATACTTTGGTCCTGTAGTTTCAGAAAGAAGATGTCAAAATCATATATGGTTTAAAAATGAATTACAGAGATTGTACATACCGATAAGTAAAACGTTTTCTCTCCTATTTATTTTATTCCTTTTAGGGTTTGGTTCCCCCATTTGGTCACAACTGCCTCTTGAAGCAGTGCAGGTTTTTGTTGTTTTGTTTTTTGTTTTTTTTTTTGGTTTTGGGAAGTGGAGTGGGAGCCTTCACGTTCTGATGTTCTGGTACGACGCAGACAGGGATGGGAGCGGGAGGTCGGGAGGGGGTTGTAAGGGGGTGTGCTGTGTATACAGTGTACAGATTATCGCTTGCTTCTCTGCCTTTAGCATAGAACATCACAAAAAAAAGAAGAAGAAAAAAAAAAGACAGATTCAACACAGCCATACAATAACTCAAAAAAAATAACAGAAGTGTGCTTTCTATGTTGTCTGGAGTGAAAAGTGCTTCATACAAGCTGCTAGGTGCAAACTGTCCTGGTGTGATGTAAAACAAGCAATAACGATTACTTGAGAATCTCTTGGGGTTTTTTTGTGTTTTTGTTTTTGTAATTTTTGTACAGTTTCCTTAATATAAAGGACACATTTTTGCTCCACGTTTGGATGCAGTATTAAACACAGTTTTTTATTGCAGTTTGTACCAAGAAAGTCTACATCCACACACAGCGTTCCTATTAGATTATGCAGCATTGGCTGAGGCCTGCAGAGGGAGGTAAGTTTGTGATCCCCTTGTCGACACACGCCCTCTCTGCCTCCAGCCACTCTTCTCTCACAGAGGTCAGAGTTAAGACTGCACGGTTCACCAGACCTGCTCTGACAGACACTTAGCCATATTTTATGACCTCAGGCAGTTAGTTCAACTATGAAGTGTTCGATAATGACGTGCTGTTCTTGGGTTCGGTTTGACCTTCACAAGATCTAAAGCAAGTCATCTTCTCTAACCTCAAAAGTACATTTTCCTCGACAAAAAAATAAAACTTTTTATAACTATTTTAACCCAGGACAGACTTGGAGCAAGCCAAATAATCCTCACCTATCAATTGGATTTCTGAATTTTACCAGCTTTTATTTTCATAGTGAGAAACGACCTGTTGGTTAGCATGCTTTGAGGCCCACAGATTTAAATATAATTTAAAAAAAAAGAAAGAAATTTATGATGATGTCACTTAACAGGGTCCTAATGTAGACGCTGCAGCGTGAACCAGGAAGAGAATCATTCTGAATGTATTGTCATTAAAGGCCTACGGATGTGATTTGATGGTGTTTATCCCAAAATGTTGACAGCATGGTGACGCCGTGCTCCTCTCAGCATTTAGGCAGGAAGTCGTCCATTGTTGCTTCTTTTCGCTCTCATGTGTAAATGAAATTTGAAGCTGTAACGAGCCAACTGCGGGACAAAAGTCTTGCGCTCATGTATCGGTTGTCATCGCCGCGGACGTCCTGCAGTTGTCTCGCCATCGGCCTATGTGAGATCACACTTTTTTGATAAATGCTGTTGTGATTGTATCATACAGTCGTGCAGAACAAGCCTTTTTGAGCCATTTTAAAGAATGATTCACAGCCCTTTGCAAATTTCCAAAGATTGTCGAGATTTTAAAAAAGATATAAAGCCATGTGGTAGCAATGCATTTTTTAGCATTTATAATGAGGATAGGTGCAAATAAATGAATTTGCCCCTTTAGAAATATCCAGGCTTTGGACCCACTCAACGAAAAACTATTTTTTCTCTCTTTAACTTTTGGTTTTGATGAACTTTAAATGCCCTTTTGTATTGTCTGCCAATTTCTTAGAGCTAAGATGCAACCTTGAAATGCTAAAAACCCTAGCATAATGCCTTAGATTTCGTCCGTTCTCGTTCTTGTACATTACACCGCTGTCTGTATAAATTTGTATAATGACTTGTGTACAATATTGAATGGGTGCATCATCGCTCAACACTTGGCAGTTGCTGGAGACTCAGTCACAGTCCAGCTGCTCCTCATCGTCGCTCTCTGTTGTGTCGGGTTGAAGACTCTGTTATTTCATTTCCTCCCCTCACTGTTTGTATGGAAAAGATGATGCATAGGGATATTGAAGCAATATGTAATATACTATATGGACTTTCTGAAGAAAGCTTACTGTTGTGTTTGTTCCCCTCCCCACCCCAGATATTTTTTTGTTCTGCATTGTTCACAGGAATCACACTGTATACCTGCATCCACCTTTGTACCCCTAGTGTGTGTGAGCGTTTTATGCAAAATTAGATATACAAGAGAAGTTAAAAACCACAGTTATGCAAGTTGTGAACTAATATGGCTTCGCTGATGCTATTTGCCTTGTAAATAAAGAATTCTGTTATTGCAGTATTTGATCCAGAGACTCTTATTTCATGTGTTTGAAAAAAGGGACGAGTAAACTTTTAGGGCCTCCGTTTACTTTTCATAGTATTTTTCAACATATAAAGATGTAATAGCTTTTGTTTTATGGCCTAAAACTGCTAGAAACAACGTTAAAAAAACACTCAAAGACAATTTAATAGCGACTTGTGCCCCTCAGTATTTAGAACAGGGGTGTCAAACATACGGCCCAGGGGCCAGAACTGGCCGCCAAAGGGTCCAATCCGGCTCTCTAGATGACTTTGCACACCTAGTGTTGATGCACTTGTGAACGCTGAGAGGTTTCAGGAGCAGTTTAAGCAGTGAGTAGATATTTCATGTGAAGTGCTTTCTCTGAGGCTCTTCACCCTGACCAGAGTACAGCTCTCTGAAATAACAATGAGTACTTACTGTGGTCAGAGTTGTGAAAAATATTGTCAACCAGCATCTTTAGTACAAAAGAATCTGTATCAGACTTATTAGTGGAACCCTGCTCTTTGGGCACTGACAAAACTTCTGACTGTAAATGGTTTGTAAGGCAGGGACGACTTCACCTGCTTCTTCAACGGCTTCTACTTTAGTGGAGAATTGTGGAAAATAGCACGGGTAATGAAAGTGAGCAGTAGACTGACTGAAAAAACTGAAACATACTGTTGAATTTACATATGATTCTTTCTGAGAATATTAGGGGCTTTTCATCGTTTGTTTTGTAAATGGATAACCGATTTCAGAATTGACGTCTTTCCACTAAAAAAGGCAAAATTTGAAGGGGTTGTCATTTATAGGTTATCATGCAATGGTTCTACTGCTCCAGCCCACTTGAGATCAAACTGGGCTGCATGTGGCCCATTAACTAAAATGAGTTTGACCCCCTCGATTTAGAACACATGCATTAATGCCACCCTTTAAAGACACTGAAGTAGCAGAGGACTTTTATATTGATAAAGTTAAAGACATTTATACTAGAAATTGGTGCAAAAAAATCAAGAGAAAGCAGAAAATTAAGTGTTTGGTTCTTAAATTTTCGAGAGGGCTCCCAAACTTCCTCCTTCATATGTGCCTAAAAATTGGCATTATGAACACACACATGAGCTTGTGTGAGCCTTCATACAAATAGCATGAACGGAAGTCATTAAGAAAATACATTAAAAGTACAAAACACAAACCAAACAAGAGAATTAAGATTTAAGATTAATGACAAGTTCAGTTTATCAGGATCCCCACTGCAGGTTTCTGCACTGCAGCAGCTATTCGTCTTGAGGTCCACAACAACTTTACATTTGTGACATTGCACAAAAACAACGTACATGTAACACTTAACAGAATGACAGGACTAAACAAGACAGCTCCTGGTAATACAACAATTAAGATTGATGCTTTTCCATGACTTCATCTGGTAAGTAACAGCCAGTTTGGGGCTAAATTTTACTCTGATTACATGATGATGCTCCATTATTGTAATATTAGACCAAATATATGCATAATACTATACATTCACATGTGTATGTTTCCCTACACACATTACATGTGCATTTAAAGGAATAGTTCCAAGGAAAAACAATATTTTACCATTACAGTATATGAATCACTTTATATAGGTCACCTTTTCTTGTATTCTCATTTAGAAAACATGAAAATATGATAAGCATACTACAACAGAAAACCAATTAAGTGATCCTGAGCCACAAGCAAAGACATCCTGAGACACATGACACAGTCAGACTTACCTTTGATATTAATTCATCAGGTTGTGACCATCTGTTTTATGGATGATTTTAGTCTCAGTCAAAAGGTGTTGCTTCAACATCATTTTAAATCTAGCTGTATTGTTTTCCTGTGACTTCCATTCATGCATATCTCTGTGCATTACTGTATGTTTCATTGAATTTATTCTTACTAAAATGAATGGAACTTTTGTAACTGGGTACCAGTAATGAGTACAGTAACTATACTAGATTATGTGTAGATTATGTGACCTGTATCCACAGCTGTAATTTATTTATTTTATCCATTGTCACATTTGACCAATCTGCTGGGCAACAATCCAGATGAGAGAACATTTAGATCCGTATAAAGTGCAGCCTAAAATACCCCACTACAGATTCCAGTTTTCCTCGTTGTCTTAATGAAGTTTGGGACAGTAGGAGAGAGATGCAGCAGATAAACTCCTCTTTCTCCTTTTCTTTTCTCTCTTCCTAATTCACCACATCCAACTCATAACAACACACATCTCTACTCCACAGGAGGTCCCTCAGATACAATCTCACTCAGTGTGTGTGTGTGTGTGTGTGTGTGTGTGTGTGTGTTGGGGTGGGGGTCCTCATATGGAAATGTTTGGGAACCTCTCTCAATCGGCCTCATTGTGCCAGAGAAAGCAGCCCGGTGCGGAGAGGTTAACGGGGTGGGTTGTCCCTGAGAAAATGTATTCCTGTGGGGCATTGAGATGCATGAGGTCGAGCTGATTCCTGGCCAATAGGAGGAAGGTGCCGGGGAGCATCTTCAGCAGACCTGAGCGTGTACAGTGGAGGTGCCCTCAGATGACCACAGGCCACCAGGAGGACACGGCGAAAGGTCCCTGCAGCAGTCTGGGAAGTTTAGAGCTGCACAGTTTGGAGATTTGTCAGTTGTTTGGTATTATATACTGAAGCCTGGGACATGACAGAGACGACGTCACTGTGAAACAGCTGCAGTTTATTCAACAAGGTAAGCTTCTTTATCCAAATTATAGAAATCACTGCTGCACATTTATTTAGGAAATCACAGTCTGTGATATGCACACAGTTTATTGTGACTTATTATTTAATATAATGGGCCTATATGTATATTATTTTAATTAAAAAATACTTTAAGATGAGATGGTTTGAAATTACGCACAGAGCATTACGCACTCCAGTCTTTATTCCTTTAAATTCCTCTTCTATTAAATTCCAAATTCTTGTTTTATTTTCTTAATTATAATCATTTCCTTTGCTCCAACATTTCCCCCTCTCTTTTCTTTTCACTGACTGTAATTTAAGGTCTATAAAATGCTTCATTAATGTTGACCTCTGCTCCAGCCGACTGTTCTTTAATTAGTGTCATGACCCTGGTTTGTCTTCTCTATTTACTGACTGATTGGGGATCGCTTCCTAAAAAGAGCGCAGCGTATTCCAGCCGGTCATTTAAAGCCGCTGATGAGCATCTGATGTGTGTGTGTTCTCTCAGCTGGAAATATTGCAAAATCGGCTGTGCAATTTCACTGTGCAGTGATTTCACTTATTACGCATGTAGATTTGTTCGATATTGTGCAGCAGTTTGCATGTGGGTGCGGGTTTTAAAGGCAAAATGGGAACATTTGAAGGTGTGGATTCGTTAAAATTGTTATATTCTAGGAGGGAAAAATAACTACTTCTCAATAGTGAATGTTTTTGGTGTTTTCTTTCAGGGTTATCTAATTTATTACACTAAATTTACTGCATTATTTGCCCTGGTTAAATTACTCAAATTTGAAAAATCAATCCAGGTGTGGTCAGCCTCTCCTGATGTCATGTTTCCTTTTTTAGATGCATTAAACTTTTATAACTTACCCCACGTCCTCTCCCACCCCCTCTTCTCCTTCTCCTCCACTAAAGGCTACACCATCCTCTCCACCTGAACCCTTATCTTGGCGCTGTCATGTCGGTGTCCCTGTCCAGCATCCCTGTAGTGCTGAAGGACAAGACCTGCTACCAAGCCGGCATGCTGAAGGGCAGCCCGGCCCGAGGCTTCTACCCTGCCCCTCTCCCGGGCCCCCACCCTTACATGGACTTCTTCCCTCGGACTCACAGCCTCCTCCACCCGCTCAAGTCCCTCGGCCGCCTGGTGTCGGACACCCAGACGTCCCTTCCGCTCAGTCTGCACGGAGGAGCCCCTCCGTTACCGCATCACGCCTCGGTCCTGCACGAACACATGTTGAGCGCCTCCGGGATCCCCTACCTGAGCCAGATGATGCCGGGACTCCCGCTGTGCGCCAAACCGGAGGAGCTGGCTGCTGTGGTGACGGAGCACGCAGCCGGTCCGCTGTCCTCTGACTTCAGCAGCCCGTCCAGTGAGAGGTCCTCCTCTTCCTCCCTGTCTTCCTCCGCCAACACACCGCCTAAAGAGGCTTTGTTTCGGCTCCGGAGCGCAGAGATGTCGCCGGAAAAAGCGCGCACGTCTTTTAATTTCAGCGAGGATGACTTGTTCATGGTGCTGTACGGGTACTCCGGCAGCCAGGAGCGCAGCTTGGGGCACGCTATATCCGGACTGACCCTGCCTGAGAAGACAGGTGAGACTTCTGCTGAAGTTATTGGGTGTTTCATTAGTTTTATAAGAAAAGATAAAACCACATAATTTGGATTTTAGTGAAATCATGCAGGCAAAATATTGGAGTCTAATATTGGACATCACTTAAATCAAATGTCTGCGTAAATTCTCCTCAAATCTGACTAACAAACCCATTCATTTTATGTTTCTTCTCCAGTGTCTGACTCTCACATTCTCCCTCTGGACAAAGAAACTCTTGAACTTCCAGAAGGTAACACCTGCCACCTTTTTTTCACTCCATAAATCACCTGTAATTAATTCTGTGTTTCTGAATTCCTCATGGCACAGCTGGGATTTGACACAGCTTTGACATTATGTTGCAGGGTTGAACATCGTGCAGGCAGCTTGGGGAAACGTCTCCCACTGTGGAGTTTTCACAGACAAGAGCAGCATCCCCAAAGGGACGCGCTTCGGCCCTTTCCAAGGAAAACTGGTGAACACCAGCGAGATTAAAACATACGATGACAACACCTTGATGTGGGAGGTAATGTCTAGTCCCAGTCCAGTCTAGCTTGCAATACTCAAAATGTTTTATTAGTCCTATCTAATGCAACTCCTCTTCCTCCTTCAGGTGTTTGAAAACGGACGGCTGAGTCATTTCGTGGACGGCAGAGGAGGCTCAGGAAACTGGATGTCTTTAGTGAAGTGTGCTCGTTTCCCAGAGGAGCAGAACCTGATTGCTGTGCAGGTCCAGGGTCAGATCTTCTACGAGGCCTGCAAAGAGATCCGGCCCGGGCAGGAGCTGCTGGTGTGGTATGGAGACTGCTACATGCAGTTCCTCGGCATCCCTCTGACCCTGAAGGACCCCAGAGAGGACAACACTGTGGTCCCCCCAGCTGAAGGTCAGACTCTACCCTGCTGTGTGTGTTTCACTCTTAAATCAACACCTCTTTCACCACCTTTAAACATTTTATTTTCTATTTCCTGCAGATTCAGGTGAGGGGTTCAAGTGTGACAGATGCGGGAAGGTGTTCGCCTACAAGTACTACAGAGACAAGCACCTGAAGTATACGCGCTGCGTGGACCAGGGCGACAGGAAGTTCCCGTGTCACCTCTGCAACAGATCCTTCGAGAAGAGAGACAGATTAAGGATCCACATTTTGCACGTGCACGAAAAACACAGGCCTCACAAGGTGCGTGCATGTCTGTTGCATTAAGTGCTGGGCTTCCACACTGCAGACCATTACATCATTACATCATGACATCACGCAGTAAAGTGGTGCAAAAGTTTGTGTGGTACTGAAAGAACAGCTCCCTGCACTTTTTATTAGACCTCTGGTGACTCCACAGCTTAAAGCATCACCACCAAACAGAATTAACTAAATTATTAATTAACTAATCACTAGAAATCAAAACCTTGGACATGGAACAATCCTCAAAAAGATCTAAAATTAGAAACACTTATGTCCACTGATGAATTTAAGAGCATCATAAAGAATGTGGTGACAGAGACATGTGCTTGTTTTTCTTCAGAGGCCACTATGTTTGAATAGTTGTTGTTTTATTGTGGATTTTTTTTGTATTATATGTTGTATTTGTTGCATTTTAAATGTGTTTTGATTGGCTGCTACCTTGGTCAGGTCTCTCTTGTGAAAAAGATTTTCAATCTCAGTGGGACTTCATGGTTAAATAAAGGTTAAATAAAATAAAATGAATGAATAAATAAAAATACATAATATTACTAATTAACCTTTCTAACGAAAAATGAAAAAAAAACGCTGTTATAGTGTGGATACATTTACACAAAAAAATGTGAATGAGTTTGGGTATCTTCCCCAAAATAAACAAATTTAAATGACATAATAACCGTTATTTATTTTAATGTTTTATATATATTTGTGTGATCTACAGTGCTCAGTGTGTGGAAAGAGTTTCTCCCAGTCGTCCAGTCTCAACAAACACATGCGTGTGCACTCTGGAGAGCGGCCATACAAGTGTGTCTACTGCAATAAGGTAAGAGGACATTTTAAATATTATTTTCCAAAGCAGTGCTGCTATATTAGTATTTTAATTTTAAAAGTTAAGCAGCTCTTTTAACAGAAAAAATGCCCATGAATTACGTTATGTTGTGTTTTATGTTTTTTACCCTTTTAAAGCGAATATTGTGTTAAATAAATGTTAAATTTGAGTCTGTTACATTGTTTTTAAAAAATGAATTAAATAAAATAATTTTAAAAAGGTTACCATGTCGATAGGCCAGGCAGAAAAGTCATGTCTCCTTGTTTCCGTCCGAGATTTTCTCATCATAGACGTATTTTTTACTTATATTTTTTCTTTTTATTTTATTTTATTTTATTTTATTTTATTTTATTTACCCCTCTAGTTTTCTAAGTACCCGACCTGGAGGCCTTCCTGTCCTTTCCCTCCTCAGTTCTCTTCTTCTACGCTTCTTTTATGCATCACTCCGCATTCTGGCTCATTCAGGTCCTCCTCGTTTCACGGTGCATTTGGGCTCGAGCCCCTCAGTATTGTTCCCGTGGACGGGCACGCTCCGCGGAGACACTTACATGCTAATTATCGCCAGATGTACACCCACCCTTTTGTCTGCGGAGATTATACTTTTAATTTACGGCCCTGGGATGAGCAGAAGTTTTTTTTGTCTTCGCCTCTCGATATCCTCCTCCTCTCTTTATGCACGCGGAGGTTTTGTTTAACCTGGTCCTCCTCTTCTCCTTATCAGAGCAAAACGCCACGAGACCAGAGGGTTTAATAGAAATAGAAGTAGGTGTTAGTGCGCGTAAAAAACTAGGGCCTATAAACTGTGGTTAAAACATCATTATTTTTGTCATAATTGTGACTTTAACATGGCGATAAATGAAAATATTTATAAATATATTATGTCCTTTTTACCGGGTGTTTCCCTCCAGGCCTTCACCGCCTCCAGTATCCTGCGCACACACATCCGGCAGCACTCCGGAGAGCGGCCCTTCAAGTGTAAGCACTGCGGGAAGGCCTTCGCGTCACACGCCGCCCACGACAGCCACGTTCGGCGGACCCACGCCAAGGACAAGCCCCATCCCTGCGACCTGTGCGGGGCCTCTTTCCAGGAGGAACAGGAGCTGAAATATCACATGAAGAGTCACAAAAGTAAGATTTATTTTCACATAATAATAGAATATAGGGGCAAGTTGTTTTTTTACCTTTTAATTTTGTGGATATATTTCAAAGCTGGGTGTTTGAAAAATAATGCAAGTGATTCAAACAAACGAATATTAATAATAATAGAAGTAAAATACATTTTAAACTAAAATAACTACAAGGTAAATCTGACATTTATTACTGCCATAAATGAGGGACTTCTATCTTTTAAAGGCAGTATGTGTGCCAATAAATGTAGGCTATGATTTCTCCTAAATAATTTACAAGCACATTTTTGTCTTTGCATGGTAAAATAATTATTTTAGGCTGGTCATTTATTGAGTTGTTTTCTCGCCCTGCAGAGAGGCAAATCCTGGACAGCACAGTTCTTCCGTCTCCTCCAGGGAGTGTGTTACAGGAGGACTCCGTGTTTCCAGTGAAGGACAATCCAAAGCTACAGAAAAACGCAGGACAAAACTGTCCTTACACCGGGTTAACTGTTTTAAACCCAGAGTATCGGCCCTGGAACTAAATCCTGAAAAAAAGATCCACATTAATTGTGTGTAAAACTTCATGGGATTTAATATATCAATAACACCACATCTATACAGGAACATAGTGGTAATACCATGAGAGGTAAAAAAAATGTTTTTTTTTCTTTATGTAAATGCTGCTAAAGGAAAAAATAAATTCTATAATGGGCCTTTTTACATGGGCTCGTCATAATTTAAATTGTTAGCTAAAAAATGTGTCTAAATCTATTTATAATATGTTAAATATGTTGTCTGTTTTGTGGCTTAAAGCTTTCACTCTGCAATTGTGTTGTAAACCCAATGTGATTTCATAATAATTATAATATAAACTATTATTATTATTACTATTATTATTATTACACTGGGTTTCTTGCATCAACAAAACGCTTGAAAAGCAAAGCTATTTTTTATTATTGTAAATTCAAGCCTATTTGTGTATAAAATAAATGTTATGCCCTGTCTTAATTTATAATATTTTTTACTGTAATGTGAGGCTGCAGAAGCAAAGTGTCCTCGTTTGTTCTCTATGAGCATCTGCTTTTTCATGACTAACTAATAAAAAATCAGCGCATGGAAATAAGAGTGTTGGTTTTGGTTGATGTCCGAAGTGAGCAGGCCTTTCATTTAAAATGATTTAATACAGCACAAATTTTCCTTTTGGGTTACATGAGTTTTTAGTGTCTATAAAATTTACAAAATCTTTATTTTTTTATAATTCATTTAATATTTTTGAGGGAAAGACTGAATTAATGTGACAAAAAAAAAATCATTTGAAATGAAAGAAGAAGGAGGACAGAGATTTTGTTCATGATTTAA